TTAACGGACACTTGGGTTATTTCCAGTTTAGGGGGTTTTGTTTCATTTGTATTTTCTGTTTTTACTATTAAAAACATGTGCTATTAATTGTCTTATACAAGTCTTCTGGTGTACAAATTTCTCTAGGCTATACCTAGGAGTAGAACTTCTGAGTAACAGAGTTTTCACGTTTCAATTTTATTTTATTATGCCCTTTATATAAATGGTATCATGTAGTACATATTGCTCTGTATCTTTAATTTATTGCATAAGCTCAAAGATTTTGTCTATTTTTCTTACTACTCTATCCCCAGCACCATTCATTCATTTAATAAATATTTATTAAATACCTACTCTGTACCAGGCTCAAGTTGGAAACATTTACTTGAGTTTTCCTCTGAAATCCCTTCCCTCCCTATCTTCCATAAAGGCCCTCAATTCTGATCCTTCAGTTTACAAGTTTACAAGCCGGTATTATCACAAGAATAGGGCCACTGCTAGTCCACAGGGTGCTTTTATGCTAGTTGAAAAAAAGGCATATCCCTCCCACGGCACCCAATCACATGCCAGGTTTACCCACAGCCAGCACTGCGCGATGTTTGGTGAGCAGAGCTCAGCCTGAATTTCAGCCCCCTCACTCCCTCAGCAGATGCTCTTATGCAGGTACAACCTGTTCAACTGTACAGAGCAGCCCTGCCCCAGAAAGCTAGCTAATAGATGCAAACTTCTCTCTAACTGCTTCTCAACCTGGCTATACTCAAAGATGTTCTTCCTTTACCTCTGTTATTCTCTCCTTTACCTCTGTTATTCTCTCCTTTACCTATTGTACTAAACAGACTGGAGGAAGAGTCCATAATATTTGCCACGAAGAAAAGCAGCACCAATCGGTTCTTTTAAATATAAGTTCTGTGGCTCAAAAAGCATTCTTTGTCAGTAAAACTAACCCAGATACCCAAGCCATAATGATTTGGCTTGGCTTGGATGAAGAACGGGTATATGAGCCAGAAATGATCTCTGTGGGCTAGGAATTAAATATACCAGGTTCCTCTGAAGTGGCTTCACCCAATTTCTGTCTAGTGGCCCAATATCTGTGGATACAAAGTGACAGCAGACAAGCCAATCAAATTCTGTCTTTGAGAACTACACATGATAGATGAATAAAGAAAGGACAGATTATTCCAGTTTAATGAGCCCAAGTAATAATGAGAAATTTATGATTTTTAGTGATACTCAGAGTTGCAGTAGGATGAAGGGAAATTTGGAGCCTGAGACAACTTCCCTTGTATAAAACTTTCAACAGAGAATGAAATCTGTGTGACTCTTCCTAACACTAATTGGTCATTTCCCCCACAGTTAAGTATAAAATGTCTTATATCATTTTCTAAGTTCTGCTTTTCTCTCCAACCAGATGCTAACTTCCCCAAGACAACTTCCTTGTGAGTTCTTTAACCCCGGCAGAGTGCTGAACATGCACATAAGAAGAATTCAATAAATATTTGAGAGGCTGAATTACTTTTTAAAAAATTGTTAATAATTCAACCTAAAACATTTAAGTATCAAATAACATATAACCATTATAAAAAATGTAAACAGTGTAAGTTGGAGTTCATGTACTTTTTTCTCCTGCATTCTCAACTATCTCTGTTTATCACTGTTAAGTTTTTTATGTGTGTTCCCAGACCTTTTTACATGCACAGACATATTAATTTGTAAGGTTTTTCCTTACATAAAAATGGAATCATATATTGTTCTGCAACTTGCTTTTTGAAATTAAACAGTATTTTGGTCTGTTCTTCATGTCACTGTGTAGTGTGTACCTCATTGTTTTGGATGGCTGCTTCCATGGTGTCCCTTTCATAGGATGGATATATTAATTTTTTAAATAACCATCTATAACTGAATATTTAGGTAGTCTCCAAGCCCTCACTATTATGAATAATGCTACAATGAACACCCTTGTACATATATTCTTGCACACTTTTGTGGTATTTTTGTAGGCTATAGACCCAGATGTGGAATTACAGGGGAAACTTATAGTGATGTTTTGAAAAGGACATTTAGTTAAGAGAGTCTAAATTCTAGGCTTGACTCTGCCACTTCTAATCTGTGTTACTCTGAGCGAGTCATTTCAACTCCCTGAGATTCTTTTATTTGATCTTTAAGAGAAGGAAAAACCTCAGTATGTTTCATAGGATTGTTGTGAAAATCAAATGACCAAACTAAAGCATCATGGTTGACTAATATTAGATTAGGAGTATTTCTTCAGCCTTTTTGTAATCTGCTGAATCTCATTAGATGACTTGCCAGTTTCTAGTGGTCGGCTGAAATGTTCCTCTTTTGAATATAGTATAGGGAACCAAGTAGAAGAGTATTATTGAAATCAAGTAGACAAATCATTGCATCCTGTGGAAATAGGTCTTGTTCTTTGAAAAGATGAATTCAGATCTCAGTTTTGATCATCCTTAGAAAAGCATGAAAGTGACCCATAGTAAACTCCAAAAACAGAAATACAAAGAAAATGTCTTCACTAGAATCCTATAAGGCAGCAGTCGCCAGCCTTTTTGGCACGAGGGACCGGTTTCATGGAAGACAGTTTTTCCACGGGGTGGGGAGGGAATGGTTCAGGCAGTAATGCGAGTGATGGGAAGCCATGGGGAGCAGTAAATGAAGCTTTGCTCGCTGGCCTGCCACTCACCTTCTGCTGTGCGGTCTGGTTCCTAACAGGGGGTTGGGGACTGCTGCTACAAGGTCATAGGCAGAGAAGTCTTTGTAATCAAAAAATTCCATTATAAAATACCTTTACTGGCTAAAAAGTACTTGTGCCACTAATTTTGTTATCAAAAACCTGAGCTTCAGTTCTGGTTTTACCATTAAGTTGTCTGTGAGTAAGAACCTACATTTTCCTCACTTGCAAAATGAAGGGGTTGAATTAGATCACCTTTAAGTTCCCTTTTACTGAAACAATAGTAAAAATTATAATAGTTACATGTATAAAGTGTTTACTGTATTAGAACCAGCACTGTTCTAATTGCTTTATATATGTTGATTCATTTAATCTTCACAGCAAACCTATGAGGCAGGTACTACTATTATCATTTCCATTTTACAGATGTGGAAACTGAGGGACAGAGAGGTTAGGTGACTTGCCTAAGGTTACACAGCTAGTGAGGGACAGAGGCAGGGCTTTGGGTCTAGGTTGTCAGGCTCCAGAGTTCATGCCCTGACCCTTTCATCCTGTGATTCTCTGATCTCCTCAAACCCTTGAATTCTTTGCTTTGTGTTGATATTTGAAAGAAACTTCTATTCTAGGAGTTTCTTTCCACTTTGTTTTGTTTCAAAGCTTTATTGACATAAATTTATTTGGAGGTCCTTTTTCCTTTTTCGAGAAAAAATTAAAAATGAATAACTTATATTAGTTTTCTACTGCTACATTACAAATTACCCCAAGATTTTGCAGCTTAAACAATGAACATTTATTACCTCACCTAATTTCTGCTTAGCTGTGTGATTCTGGGTCAGGGTCTCCCATGAGCTCATAGTCATGTCATTGGCAAGGGCTGCAGTCACGTGAAGGGGCTGACAATCTGCTTCCAAGTATACTCATGGCTGTTGGTAGGAGATTTCAGTTTCTCCCCACACGGGCCTCTTCATCAGGCTGTTCATACAACTTGGTAGCTGGTTCCTTAGAGTGAGAAATCTGAGAGAGACAGAGACAGAGACAGACAGAGACAGAGAACCCAAGACAGAAGCTGAAGTCTTCTGTCCCAGCCACTCTCCTAATCTTGGAGGTGACATTCCATCACTTCTGCCATATCTATTTGCTGGAAGCAAGTCACCAAGTCCAACCCAAACTCAAGGGGAGGGAAAGTAAGCTTCATCTCTTAAGGGGAAGAATATCAAAATGTGTATAAATATATCTTTAAAACCACATTGAGTACAACAAAAACATACGAACAGTGGTATACTCACTGCCCCAAACTGGGAATTATTACCTTATCATATTTTCCTCAAAACATTTTCAAAAAAAAAAACATTAGAAATAAAATCGTCTTTGTTCCCATACCCAGACCCAATCCTTTTCCTATTCTCCAGATTCTAATCTCCAACAATTCTAAGATTATATGGTGTATCGTTCCAGTCTTTTTATTCTTTTATATACATATAGGTCATGCTCCAAGAGGTCAGGGACCTTGTCCCGCTACCACCTGACATAGAATAGGCACTCAGGGCATATTTGTTGACGAAATCAATGATTTCTAGCCTACAGCCTCAGTCTTCTACTCTCCACTCCTATACCTGACGGATATTTCGAAATGAAAAGCCTGTCACACTCCTCCCCAGCTTGAAAAATGCCATTGGCTCCTCCGTCTGTGGAATAAAGTCCACTCTTCTTAACATGCATTAAAAGTTTCTGTGAAAACAACTCTCCCCTCCCCCCCAAAGCAAAACAAGCACCACTTCTTCTAATAGAGGAAGCAGAAGAAGAAAAACGCAAATCAGCTAATTCTATTATAAGCTGACAGCCCTGGTAAAAGAAGTCCTGGAGGAAGAGTTCAGAATCCATAGAGAAAGGCAGCTATGTAATTATTGATAGATTTCATCTTCGTTGTTGTTTTTTTCCTCATGCTCTTTCTCTTTCATGAGAAGTTTTACCTACTGTTTAAAGGGAAGGGAATCTAACATTTCATTGAGCACTTAATGATATGCCAGGCATTTGGCTAAATGCTATATTTACTTTATCCCATCTAATATAATTTTCTTCAAAAACCTAGAGTAGGTGTCACCTCTTCTTTCAAAAATAAAATGACTGAGTTCAAAAATGTCAAATACACCAAGGAAAATAAAATGTGCTGGTGATTTCTACATTATAAGAAAGTACAAAAGACTTGTACAATACATATGCTTCTTATTAGTTAATATTAGGTCATGGGCCATCTGTGGTCACACATCTCATGTGTGATACTCTTGATGTGCCAGTCTTCCTCATAAACTCCTCTCCCATCTCTCTCCCTCTTCCTTCCCTCTCTCTTCTCTTCCTCTGGGCTTGCCTCTCTTTCCCTTGCTCTCTCTTAATCCCATTACTTTCTGGGTTTTTTTGTTTTTTGTTTTCCGTTTTTCTCTCTGCCTACCTCTTAAGCCCATCAACAGCTTCATTGTTGCCTTCTAGGGCAAAAAGTTTACTGAAGGCTTGTCTAAGCTGAAGTGAAAGTAAACAGAAAGAAAGGCTTCCTTTAATTCCTGAGCTAGAATTGCAACAAAGTATAATGATGTTTCAGTACAATATGTGACCCAAAGAGATAAAGTTATATACTCTAGCCAGGCTTTCAGCTTCCAATATGCAAGGGACAGTTGCCCACTGAGCTCTTGATGAGGTTCTCAATCATTACTGGTAATACGAAGGTTCTCATGTTTCCATTTTGAAAAAAAAGAACCTGTAATCAGGAGATGTTAGCATTTTATCAATATGTAGAAGTTGTAGAGGGAAGTTTCCCTGAAGCTTGAAAAGTAAGAATGGAAGCAGAAGAAAAATTTTCTATAAAGGACAGACAGGATGTGGAAAACTGAAAATAGCATCATGTGGAAAATTCAAGGTGAGTCTGGTGGTCCTCAAATTCCACCCATTCATCAGGTCCTGAGAGAGCAGAGGCTGCTTTGGAAAACCAAAACTAGATTGTTAATAATGCAGGAGGTTTTATACTCCATTCTAGTGTGTAAGTCGAGGCTGCCCTCCATTTTGATGCTTTCTGATTCTCCACTTTTAGGCAAACGAGAAGAAACCAAGAGGATCATTCCTTTGGCTCGATTTCAAGAAAAAGGTATTCATTTACTTGCAAAACTTTTCAAGTGCTCTCTAAATATCAGACTCCATATTTAAACAAACCAAATTTTAGTGAGCAAGCAGGTGCTATAAATCATCAAAACAGCTCCCTCTTCCCCCACCTCCCGGGCAAACAAACAGTCATTAAAAGAAAATTAGCGTTGAAGAATGGAGCTAGTGGGTAGGTGGTTTATAGCTTGTGGGTTGATGATCTGACAATATTTTAGCAGAGAACTTCGCTGACTGGCAAAAAGCAGTGAGTTGCTAAACACTGAGAGATTGTTATGAAGACTTAAGGGCGAAGATATTGTTTCCTGGAAAAGAGGGCAGTGTTTGAAGACTATTGCCCTACCACTTTCATGATTTGCATCTCATGTGGAGGTGTCTTTCCTTAATAAAAAGCAATTAGATTCCGGCCAGGTACCACCCCCTCCTCTTCAACAGACTCTTACCACCCTGAATTAATAACATACCTTGTTGACTCGTTAAGTTTTGGTGTCATTTTGATACATATATTATTACAGCAATACATAAAAGCTACAATATTCAATCTGCTTAAACGATGTTAAGGTTATACTTTGGAGATGAGAAACTTTGAATTATCCAGTTGATTCAGGAAATGAGTTTACTGGCCTACTGTACATTCATTTGAAGAATGAAAGAGAGAGAGAATCCCCTGAGGCTTAAATCTGAAGGGAACTCAGCTTTTCACTGTACTTTTAGAAGTAAAATAGTAATGGTACTCATAAGGGAGTTTTATAAATTGGCATGCCCCAAATTTCTTTTTTAGCTATGTGCACGTAACTGCGTAAGTGAATGAGCTGGGCTGCATCAGGGACTAAAGAAAGCCACTTTGCTCTTTTTCTCCACTGCTCTTTCAAACCTTCTCTGTCAAATTATTCTTCTCCAACCTTGGATGAAATCTGAGGCAGAGATCCTAGTTTTTCTGGTCATGTTCGTGTATTAAAAAGCTCAGTATCATCTAATATTAAAATGTTATGGCCTCATTTGGTTCAAAGTTTCTATTTATGCCCCCATCCCCCATTCCCTCCATCCTTAGGCCTGAATCAAGCTTGCAAGCCCCAAATGGGAAAGGTCAGGGTGGGTTTGTGTGGAACGGGGGCAGGGTGAAGGGGGGAGGGGTATTCTTTCTTCCTAGACCCACTGACTTCTACACTTTCTAGGCTGCTCTTTGTGGCTTTTCTATGGTCTGATCAATGGAGGAGGTGGATTCATGGACAAAGGCAATGTTCTCTGCCTGGTGCGGTGGACTTTCTGAGTTCTCACTACTGAGGACCTCCAACCTCCAGTTTCCTTTCACAGAAAATGATTTCAGACTGACGATTGCTTTCTCCACCACTTCCCACTCCAATCACCACATCTCAGCTTGAAGCTTTAGATGGCTCACAACCACCCTTTAGAAAGACTGTTTTTATGGAGTCTCTCTTTTTTTTTTGAATTTTATTTTATTCATTTTTTTATACAGCAGGTTCTTATTAGTTATCCATTTTATACATATTAGTGTATGTATGTCAATCCCAGTCTCCCAATTCATCCCACCCCCCCACCCCCCACTTTCCCTCCTTGGTGTCCATACTTTTGTTCTCTGGCGGAGTCTCTTTTAAGATGACCCAAATCCAGTTCTTTTTAATGTAATCCACATGCAGCCCACAGGAAACCTGTAGATTAGCCTCCTCAGATCCTTATTTCTAATTGCATTAATCAGGGTTCTCCAGAGAAACAGAAACAGTATGCGATAGAGATAGAGATAGATGCAGATAAAGAAAATTTTTTACATTTTATAAAAACTTTATTATAGATGTTTAAAAACATACATGAAAGGAGAGGGAATAATAAAAATGAACTGATGTATACATCTCCCAGTTTCCACAATCATCAACAAACTGTCAGTTCTGTCTTATCTATGCCCACAGCCACCAGCATCCCTGGCCGTCTACCCCAGAACTATTTTGAAGCAAATCCCAGATATTATATCATTTACCTGTAAATATTTCATTATATATCTCAAGAAGATACAGATTTTTTATAAAAAACACAATCACAATCATTACACTTAAAAATTAACAAAAAAGTTCTTGGGCTTCCCTGGTGATGCAGTGGCCGAGAATCTGCCTGCCAATGCAGGGGACATGGGTTCGAGCCCTGGTCTGGGAAGATCCCACACGCCAAGGAGCAACTAAGCCCGTGCACCACAACTACTGAGCCTGTGCTCTAGAGCCCACGAGCCACAGCTACTGAGCCCTAATACTGCAACTACTGAAGCCCGTGCACCTAGAGCCCGTGCTCCACAAGAGAAGCCACCGCAATGAGAGGCCCGCGCACCGCAACGAAGAGTAGCCCCCGCTCTTCGCAACTATAGAAAGCCCATGCGCAGCAACAAAGACCCAACACAGCCAAAAATAAATGAATAAAATAAATTTTTTTAAAAGTTCTTAATACCACCAAATGCTGAGTCAGTATTCACATTTTCTCAATTTTCATGTAAATTTTAAAATATCTTATTTGTTTATTTATTTATTTGGCTGCATTGGGTCTTAGTTGCTGCGCATGGGCTTTCTATAGTTGCGGCGAGCAGGCGCTACTCTTCGTTGCGGTGCGCGGGCCTCTCATTGCGGTGGCTTCTCTTGTTGTGGAGCACGGGCTCTAGGTGTGCGGGCTTCAGTAGTTGCAGCACGTGGTCTTCAGTAGTTGCACAATTTGGGAGGCTACTTTAAGAAAATGAATATAAAAAATTAGGCCTTTAAGTTTTACAAAATCATGGGACCGTGTGAGCACATTGCTAGGGCCCTTTCTGGGAGTGAGGGGCTTCACATAAATCTGACTCAAGACTCAGTCTATTTATGAAAGTGTTAAATCTTTAAGGACTATTCTAGATTGTACAATGGTGAATTGGGTTCTACAATCAGATCGGCAGACCTATATTAGATCAATTCAGCTATCTACCAGATACTTCCTGTGTCTTTTGGGAAAAGTTATTTAAATTCTCTAAGCCTCAATTTCCCATATTAGTAAACCCACTTCATACGATAGTTGCAAAGATGAAAATATGTAAGTGTGTAAAACATTTTAGCATAGCTCATAATTAGTGCTTAATAAGTGTTAGCTATTATTAGCTATTAGTATTAAAATCTGAAGTATCTGAACTCTGCCCTGTATTTGCCTTTTCAAAACTCACAGATCCTTAGCTCCTCACAACAAAATTCAAGGGATCATCTGTAAGGAAATAAAATCCAGAATATCCAAGTCTGAAGCTTCCTGGTGAAAAAGAGCAGCTGGACCCCTACTCTCCCCCGTGAAGTTCCCCTCCCGGTGGATCATCTTGCCACCATCCTGCCTGGATGATAAGGAGCTGCTCCTCTTTGAACACACCGAGACCAGGCTGGGTTGTGAAAAAAGAATCGACTCAAATCTAGGGGATGGTTTAAAAAAAGAATAAATAAAAATAAAGTATGTCCAAGGTGGACTCTGCTTTCTCACAGCTACCTCCCCATTCCACATGAGGCCTTAGAAAAAGAAATTTTGCTTGGATTCCTCCTAGCTTCCAATCTTCCTCATCATGGTAAATACCATACACGAGTACCCACCACATAGGTGTACAATCCCAGACACAGAACTAACATACAGTTAGGCAGGTTGGGCACTGCACAAAGATATCACATCTTAGAAGGCACCATTCGCATTGTAGACATCACAGATTTCTATGTTTACCAAAATAATTTTCTGGTGAATGGCAGCTAAGTATCTTGTTACATAGTCAGTACATTGTGATACTTTTTATAATCATTGAAACTAGAATGCCTTGAGGAAGACTTGGGGAGGGGGTGCCTTTTCCACTTTGTACACATGTATGATGTGGGTGTGGAGGCCTTGACTGGGCATCTAGAATGTTTAAAGTCTAGAAAGAGGAAGAGAGATCCAGCTCCCTGGCTGTTAACCCCAAACCTAGAGCCTGCTCTCTCAGCTCCCATTTCCTGTCTAAGGTCTTACCTCTTCCTCTAGCAATTGACATAGAGAATTGCTCCACCCTTCAGCCAAGAGGTCTTTACTTTTGCAGAGCTTAATGATATAACTAGATTCATATAATACAATAATCTACAACAATAAATACACACATGGTAATAGAAAATGATTTCCTTATAAAGTTTCTAAGATACACACATGCAGAGTTGTTTATTTTAAGGCCATGTTAATTTCAGGAAGAACAAATTTCTGTTACCCAAATGGCTGAGGAGGTATTAAATTGAATAATAGATTATATCTGCTGTTCGCTTTGACAACTTAAGCTTTTGTAATATCACATCTAAAACATGAGGAAAATATTACTAGGTTGATTTGGTTTTCAATGTAACACTCACTAGATATGATGTCATAATTCCTGAAACATCAATGAAAAGAGAACGTTTGGTTTTTCAAATGTGTTGGCCCAGTATAAATACAGCTATTTCCAACATCAGACCTAGCCATTTTTAGCCTTCCCACCCTTAGTATAAGTGTATTTCTTAAAACATGGTCCTTATTGCAATATTTTGTACTATGTTTAATCCTCAATATGTTCTGAGATTTAAGCTAAAACCAAGCTTTAATTCTAAATAAAAAAGAAAACAGTTTTTAAGGTGTATCTTTGTAACTGCAATATAGAATTTCCAAGTTAATTAAAAAATATTAGCTTGTTACTGTTTAAACTTTCTTAGTGTAAAATATATCATACCTTCACAATAGTGTATATGTGTATATGTGCTGTTTAAAGAAGAATAATAAAAGAAGAGCTATGTACCTACTATCCATCTTAAGAAATAGAACATAACCAGTACCTTAGAAGTTTCCTTTCTACCTCTCCCTGGTGATGCTCCTTTCCCTGTCCACCATAATTAACCATATGTTGAAACTTTGTTAATCACTCCACGCTTCTATTAATTGTTTTATCATATACGTGTATCCTTAAGCAATATATTGTCTAATTTTGCCTTCTTTTACAATTGATGTAAATGAAATCATACATATATAGGCTTGTATGACTTGCTTTTCTGTTCAACACATTTTTGAGTTTTATCATCTATTGATACACAAAGCTGTATTTCATTCAGTTTTGCTACTCTGGTATTCCTTTGTTATGAGTAGACCACAATTTAGTTATCAATTCTACTACTGATGGGTGTTTGGGCTGTTTCCCTTTTTTTTTTTTTTTTTTTGTCTTTTTATGAACAATGCTGCTGTGAGTTTTTTAAATTCACATCTCCCATGTACATGTGCACAAGTTTCTTTAGAATATAAACCTAGAAGTGGAGAGTTTTAGTATTCATCAAAATAGATTAAGAAATCAATGTCAAACCACAGTATTCACAGAACATATGTTTGATGACGATGACGATGATGATGATAACCTCCTTGCTGAAGAGCGACAAAATAGGAGAGCTCATGCTTTGCTTACTAGCTCTGGCTTCAGAACATTACTAAATATCACCAATCTCACAGAAAGAAATTCCAAGAAACTTAACTCAAGTTCCCAGGTTTTTCCTGATAGGAGACAAGAGCTAAGAGTATGGAAGTCTTAATGAAGGGGTTTATCAATTGACGGTAAAGGTTTGCCAAGTGATTCAGAACGAAGAACTGACTGCTATGGGGAGAAATATGGGCTGGATAGCAACAAGAAAGCTTGACTTCTAAGCTGCTTCTATCTATAGATGGCTGTGTGGTTTTTGAGCAAATCAGGGAATATCACTGATTCTCCGTTTTCATGTCCATAAAATATGAAGTTTAGATTCAATGACCTTTGGGTCACTTCCTGCTCTAATTCCGATTCAGCGATTTTGAGTTCTTTTGGAAACGACAGTTTTGCTCGCCCCCTAGTGGTGTCCTCTTGCCTTGCAACTGGAGAAACCGGTTTAAAATGGTGGTTATTGTCTCTCAAAAACTTCCTTGTACAGTGTATTTTAGGCATTATAATTAAAAGGCATGAAAATGAAAGGAAGCTTTTTGTGAAGTTATTAATTTTTTGAAAACACACATTTAAATAAAAGGTTTTTTTCATTGACAAGAATTAATATTTGGTTTTAACAATAATGTCCTTGAGCTGCACACTTATAATTTTTGCATTTATTTTAATAACTTTAAATACAAAATGAGAAAAAAAAAGTTCTGCCTTCTTCGCCCAAGATGTAAAAAGAAATTAATTAATACATTTCCCTTCTACTAAATTAATGCCATTAATCATTATTTAAGTACTGTAGATAAAAGATTGGAGAGTTCCTGAGGATTAAAGAAAATAATTTACATAGTACTCTGCCCATAGTAGGCATTCAATACAGGTTAAATGAGTGTGAATCTTCATCTGAAAAAAACCAACAACAACACTACTTTTTCAGCTGGAGCCTGAGTTGTCTAGTGGATTGAAAGTAAAAGAGAATGGCATTGATCTACTTTGTAAAGCTCTTGGGAACAGACTTGCTTAACCACTTTAAGAATGAGTTTCTCTATTTGCAAGGAGGGAATAAAATTCCTGATGCTTGTTGAAATGACAGGGACATCATAAAGATTAGTGAGTCGAATGTTGGTAAAGAATATCATATTCCTTATAGAGCAGTGTTATGTAAAGACTCAGGTCAGTATCATCAGAAACTGGCTACAAGGGCACTATGTACCTGTCATTTTTGAAATAGAGTATAAAATCCCAACAAGAAAAACAGCCCTGCTCACAAAACTATAAAATGTCATTTTTCTTCAAAGAGAGGAAAACTAGAAAAACGAAGACTCCTACCTTTGAATTTAAACACCAAATCGATACATAAAAGAAAAGAATCAGGTTCTGAGTCCTGAATGTTTTTTGTTCTTTCAGCAGTTTAATGAATAACTGAAAAATAAGTTTAATTATATAAAAATACTTTGACAGAAGTTTAGCTTTGTCTTTCTGTTGTTGTCTTTTCAACAGTGGCGCTGCCTTGGGAAATCTTTTCCTATGCTCTCTTATCTGTTCACCTGACTCATAGAGACAGCCCAACTGAGGGGGGAAAAATGAGCTTCAAATCAGGGAAACTAAGTTGTAGCTCTGGCTCTGCCTCTTAAAGTATAAGTGACCTTGGGCAAGCCCCTTGAGCTCTCTGAGATTTACTCTGTTCTATAAAATGGAGGTTTTGATAATAGCAGTAGCTCTGTCCCAGTGCCGTTCTGATGATTAATTAAGAGTGTGTAAATTCTCTTTAGCGACTGCAAAATTATTTCCAAATGTTAATGACTGTTTTTCATATCTTTATTTATTATTATTTTTTTGTCTATACAAACTTACCCATCTTGTCTTTATCAAGTCTTGATGATTTTACCCTCAAAACTCCAGCTCTTCCTCTATATTCCCACCTCTTCCGCCCTGGATTCCACTAGGACCTTTCTATTCACGGGCCCACCTCTCCCTAAACCCCGCCCCGGACTCTCCCCCAGCTCCAGTCAAACCAATCCACCACCAGGGTGAAATTTCTCACCTGAAAATATGGGCACACCGGGCTTCCCTGGTGGCGCAGTGGTTGAAGTCCGCCTGCCGATGCAGGGGACACGGGTTCGTGTCCCGGTCTGGGAAGATCTCACATGCCGCAGAGCAGCTGGGCCCGTGAGCCATGGCCGCTGAGCCTGCGCGTCCGGAGCCTATAGGCACACCCTTCTGGTGATCGGTATTCTTTCTGGCTCCTAATGCCCTGCAGAATTAAATCTCAGTTCCTTCACAATCTAGCCCTGCCTACCTGTTCCCTGCATCTTCTGCTCGTCCTTTCTTGTACTTCACAGACTCATAATTCCATAATTGTCTCTTTTTCCTGTCTGCATGCATTTGCACATTTATTTCTCCTGCCTAAAATGTCCTCCTCCTCCCACTCAGCAACTCTAGTACAATTTTTCTGTGGAATCTTCTCACTGATTGCTGGCAAAATTCTACTTACTCTTCACACCTTAGTTCAAACTCTCTCCCTTTCACATGCTCCCTTTGCACTATGTTGAGATCTTCAGAGTTTTGTTTTTTTTTTTGCAGTACGCGGGCCTCTCACTGCTGTGGCCTCTCCCGTTGCGGAGCACAAGCTCCGGACGCGCAGGCTCAGCGGCCATGGCTCACGGGCCCAGCCGCTCCGCGGCATGTAGGATCTTCCCGGACCGGGGCACGAACCCTTGTCCCCTGCATCGGCAGGCGGACTCTCAACCACTGCGCCACCAGGGACGCCCTCTTCAGAGTTTTAACTGGATTGCTGTCCCTCTTTCAGAATGTGGATTCTTAACAAGGGTTATTCATGTCTTTTCATGTTGCACAAGGCCTGCACCTAGCAAACATTTAACTTTTTTTGTTGCATGAATGTCTATTTTCTAGTATGCTTAGCCCTGGACTGATTTCATTTTATACATCTTATTTTTCTATTTTTACAAGTTTTAATCATTTCTGTATACCAGTTTGGCCTTCTTCCTTCACTCTCATGTAAGTATCAAATGTTGTAACAACCTTATCTTGGGACAGCGTTGCTGTATCAAATACAACATTCTTGCTTAAGTTAGGGTATTTATAATTAGAAGGAACAGAGAATTACTCAAGCTAACTCAAGGGAATGGGTGAGGGTGGGGTTGTTTTTAAGACTCTGCAGGGATATCGTGGGGATCCTAGGGGAGGCCTCAAGGGAAATGTGGTGAGTACAGAGCAGTTTCTCCCTCTCTTGTCACATCTTCACATCATTCTGTGTATGTTCTCTAGGCCTTCTTTCCCAGCTCCACCTGTTTTCAATTTCCTAATAGCTTGCCTCTGAATTTTGGCTACAGTTCAAGTCCCCGACATCCTTTCACCCTTTGCCCCACACTTCCTCTGTTTTCTCAAATTTCACATCCACAAGAGAGGACTCGAATTGACACAGCTCATCTCCTTGGGCCAAGCCACATTCATTCATTCATTCATTCATTAAATATTTATGGAACACCTGGTATATGCAAGACACTCTTTTAGGTGCTGGGGTAAAGGTAGTGGAAGAGACAAATAAAAATGTCTGCTGCCACAGAGTTTACATTCTACTGGCCACAGACAAGACCCTAAACTGGCTATCCCTAGACCAGATGCCACTTTTCAGCACCATCATGTGTGGTTGGCAGTGGAGAGAGGCAGGATCATGTGGTAGAAAATGTGGTCACCTGGTCACCCAAAATTGAGCAGGACAGAGTTCCTAAAAGGAGGTGTGTGCAGGCACAGAGACTTTGGTGCAATTTTAGTTTGAATCTTCTCTTTATTACTCATATTCCCTTACTTTATTTTCCTTCACATCTTAAATATCTCATATATGGTTTTAAAAGCATTCTTTTGATCTTCTTTGATCCATTCAAGGCCACCATGATATCTGAATACATTCTTACATATCCTAAGTATGTGTAATACTGGAAGGGTTTGTAATGTTTTTTAACGCCTGAAGAGTGTAGCCCAAGAGAGGATGGGTAACTTTTTACTCCTGATTTAACTGTATCAGCTCACTTTGCAATTACTAGATGTTGTTATTCCCATTTATATATACAGTTGGGGAAAAAAGAAACAACTTTAGAGGCCTTTAGGACCAAGCCCTAAACTCCATTAAAGTACATCTTTCTTTGTGAGTCTACCTGCCTCTCTGGGATCACTATGTGCATGTGCACAGGTGTGTATGTGTGTGCACAAAAGTTTATGTGGCATAATATTCTCGCTGCCTCTTGATAGCACCATCTCTATCTCTTTGCTGTTCATCTCTTTCTCTCTCTCTCTCACCTCTTTATCTTGTTCTCCTCCCTCTTCCCACGGACGCTGAGTCTGTTGTTTCTCTCCACTTATGTAAAACAGAACTAAAGGCAATGTTTTCTGCTGGTGCCACCACTTCATTGGGCTGGGATTGGAGATGAGTACCTCAGGACTGGATTACCACTTGGTAGCAGCCATCAACAGGTGAGAAGTAATGACCCAGCCAAGGGCCTAAATTGGAAGACTTTTTACAGGAGTGAATAACTGCCACTAAGAGACGCCTTTTCACTCAAAACTTAGTTACTGAAA